AGGATGTAGTGATAGCCGCAGGAATAAGCAGCTTTAAAAAAGGATGATTCATGGAGGATAAGCCTTATCAGTGGCTACTAGCCATGGTGACTGAGGGGAACCTCCACATTCAGAGGCACTAAGCCTCTGAATCCCAGAGCCAGGAGGCAACATCAGGGGAAGGCCTTGGCTTCCATGCATTGTGGTTGGCCCTCCAGAGGAACTGGTCAGCTAATGTGTGAGACAGGATGCTGGACCAGATGGACCAGCAGGGCTCTTCGTGTGTTCACAAGGCATCTGAAGGCCAGTGGTGGGCCATTCCAGAGTGCCTCTTCTCGCCCCCCCCCCCCCACGAGCTGCTGTTATGTGGTGCAATTACCCCCTGTAAGTATACAGCACATTCTTTCATTGCAGCCATGCTCAAGAGAGCACATGTGTAACCCTGAGTGGGCAGAGACCGGCTTCTGGCACTTTGCCCAGTGCAACTCCAGCGTGCTTTGGAGCCAGAGGGGGCCGGCTGTACTTCTAACCCACCCTCTCCTTCCCCCTTTCCAGGCGCTCACCAGGCTTGACGCAGATGTGGCAGACGTTTCTGAGTTGTGCCACCTTTTGGACCTCCTGGAATGAAGCTGTGCCACCTTTTGGACCTCCTGGAATGAAGCTGTCTGTCGGGCTGTTAGGATTGTAAATAAATCTTTTCTTTTGCAAGCAGTGATCGATGTCTTCGTAGTCACTGTGGCGGATCTGGAACACGTAACACGTCAGCAGTGACTTTCCGTGACTGTGCTGCAGACCTCCCAGTGAGATCTCTACCCCCACTTTGGCAAGGCCAGCCGGGCCGTTCTAATGCCTCAGGACAGTCTGTCTGGGCTAGGGCCAATCACTGGCAGAGGGGGGAGTGAGGAAGACCCTACTAGCCAAGCTGGGAAGGTACTGCTACTGAATTTGTCTTCCTCCAGCTGCTGTAACATTTGGATGTGGCCAGAGGCAGCCGCCAAAGAGCTCTGTCCCCTTTTCCTTGCCATCGGGTACCCTAGTAAGAACTGGCCCTGAGCCAGTTTGGTGTAGTGGTTAAAAGTGTGGACTCTAATTCGGGAGAACCAGGTTTGATTCCCCACTCCTCCACATCCAGCTGTTGGCGTGACCTTGGGTCAGTCACAAGTTCTCTCGGAGCTGTTCTCTCAAGAGTAGTTCTCTCAGCCCCCCCTACCTCACAGGGTGTCTGTTGTGGGGAGGGGAAGGGAAAGGAGTTTGTAAGCCGCTCTGAGACTCCTTCGGGTAGTGAAGGGCCATGGGGTATAAATCCAATCTCCTCCTCTTCTTCTCTTAACCACTACACCCCACACTGTGTTTTGCGTTGGGTGCCACTTTGGGTTCCTTGGCAGAAGAAGCAGGCCCTGTTTTATTTAAATTTCCATAATGAGATGAAGCCCTTCCTGGTGGGGGCTGCCAGGTAGGGGCAATTTTGCATTGCCCCCTTGTGCAGTGGGGCCCACCCCGTTCCTGCCTCTTGTTCCAGGCTCAACCATTCCAGCCCTCTGGCCTCCTCCTCCTGCTTCTCCCTGGAGTGCTCCTCCTGCTCCTGCCTTGAGCCTGTTCTCTTCTGGGCCCGCACCTGCCGCATCTTCCCTCCCTCGCAGTGTTCTCCATTATGGCCACGGAGCTCCCAGCGGGCCGAGACCTAATTCCTTCCTCCTCTTCCCATACCCCCACCTGCTCTACATTCCTCCTCCGCCACGGTGTCTTCTTTAGACCTAACCTACCTTTCGTCAGAACCGAGACTGCTCTAGAAGCTCCTGACATGTGGGAGGGAGAGCCTTTGGGAAAGCCTTTCCCACTTGGCTGTGTCAGGACTTTCACAGAGAAGGGTGTTCATTCTCTTTATTCACTCCTTTTTCTAAAATACCGAAATGGCGTTGGGGGGGGGGGGGGGAGAAGGATGCGTTTTCAAATTAAAAAAAACAGATACAGGGAAGTGGCCCCAGTAGGGGCTCTGCCCCACCCAATGTGCCTTCCACAGTCACTTATTCTGCTGCTGCTGCTGCTGTCCCTGCCGGGCTCTTCGTCTGCCACCATGTGACTCCTGGGACCTCACTGAGCATTTCCCCAAATGCCTTCAAGCGTGTTCTTTGCATTCAGAATGAACTGATCTTTTTTTTTTTTTTTAAATCGAAGTGAGTATTCTTAGCTGCATCTATTGCCTCCTGCTGTCCCTTCCCCTGCAGTCCTTTCATAAACTATTTCACTCTGCCCTTGCCTAAGGGGGTTTTTTAGGGGGTGAGAGCCTCTCTTCTGCTTTCATCTTGCAAAGGGGGGGGGGAGATGGGCTGAATGGCAAGGGGGCCGTTAGCTACTGCGCTTGGCCTGCCTCCCCCTCCTCCAAGCCTGCCTAGCTGGACATAAAAACTGGATGCTCTAGCCCAGCCGCGGGGGTGGGGGAGAGCCTGCCTGGCACTGCGAGGCGCCTTCAGTACCACACAAAAGGGGGGAAAGGTTCGGATGGCTGCCAGTTCCTTACCCCCGTCAAAGCCAGCAGGGGCCTTCTCAGCGGTGAATAGAGCCATAGGAGTGATTCCAGAGTTTTAAAGTCTCTCCCTCTCCCTGCCCTCATGTAAGAATGCTAGAAAAGTCCTGCCTTACACCAGTGATTCCGATGCTCTATAGCAGTGGTGGCGAACCTATGGCACCGGTGCCAACTCAGGGCCCCCTCTGTGGGCACGCGTGCCATCGCCCCAGCCAGGCCCAGACCATCATTAAAGTGTCGAATTCTCTGCCAAATAATTTTAAGTAAATGAAAGCATTTGGGATTGCTTTCCTTACTTTGTTTGGGTCATCTTAAGTTAATGTATGAGTTGTTTTTTCTAAAGTAAAACCTACGTATTCAGGTTAAATGGCCGTGTTGGCACTTTGCGATCAATAAGTGGGTTTTGGGTCGCAGTTTGGGCACTCGGTCTCTAAAAGGTTCGCCATCACTGCCCTATAGCTTCATTCCATTATTGCCTCTCCCCCCCCCCCTCCCCAGGCATTCTGCCTCTGTTCAGGGAGAACAGATCTAATTTTTTTTCTTTTAAAAAGCTGTAATCTAGTGCGTCCATCTTCTAGCAATAAGTCCCATGAGGTTTCTGCCTTTGAGTGACACAACCCTGAAGGAGGTCTTTTCAGTGCTAGGTGACATTTCCCCCCCCCCACACACACACACATCTGCATTGGGAGGAGGGATGCTCTGTATTCTTGGTGCTTGGGGGGGGGCAACAGTGGGAGGGCTCCTAGTTTCCTGGCCCCACTGCTGGACCTCCTGATGGCACCTGGTATTTTTGGCCACTTTGTGACACAGAGTGTTGGACTGGATGGGCCATTGGCCTGACCCAACATTGGCTTCTCTTATGTTCTTAAGATGCCACCTCTCCAAAGTGATGTTCTGAGACGGATGGGCAAAGACTCAGTCAAATGGGGCTGGTTTCCAGGAAGGGAGGTTTCAGTTGAGATGTAGAAATTTCCCAAGGGGGGGGGGAGACCCAATGTGACTCAAAGGCAGTCCTGGACTTCAGTTTGCAAGACCTGAGCAATTTGGCGATAGGAGGTTTTGGAGGTCACTAATCCATAGGGTCACCTTCAGCGTTCCCTCTAAGCTGAGTTAGTGTGAGCTAGCTCACAGTTCTTTAGCCTCCAGCTCACAGAGTTTTGTCTTGGCTCTGGAAGGATGGCTCCAGAGCAGACTAATTTATGCAGCAGCCAGATCACACACTCACAACTTTAATGCCAGTAGCTCACGAAGTACGATTTTTGCTCACAAGACTCCACAGCTTAGAGGGAGCATTGGTCACCATAAGTTGGAAGAGACTTAAGACACACACACAAGAAGTAAAGAAGTGAGCAGTAACTCAGGAAAGCTCCTCCCCTGCCACAAATCTTGTTAGTCTTTAAGGAGCTACTGGACTCTTGCTCTTTTCTACTGCTATAGACAGACTAAGATTAGATAAATCTACCACGGGGGGGGCACTCCGCCCTCCAAGCAGAGGCTGGACAGTCATGGGGGAAAGATGCTCTAGCTCTGGATTCGCTGCATCAAGCAGGGGGGTTGGACTAGATGGTCTCCAAACCCGCTTCCCATGTATTGTCGACTACAACTGAGGCCTGGGATTGAAGAAAGCTAGCCCTGGAGCTTCAAAGATCTATCCGCCTGGCATCCCGGTAGCCTGGATGAGCTCTGCTTCGGGGGCTGAGTACTGCCACTTCCTGGGCAAATCGGGAGGGAGGGGGGCAGAAAGTATTTTCCCTGCCACTCGCTCATGAAAAGATCAACAACCTCAGATATGCAGACGATACCACTCTAATGGCAGAAAGTGAAGAGGACCTAAAGAGCCTCTTGCTTAGTGTGAAAGAGGAGAGCGCAAAAATGGGCTTGAAGCTCAACATCAAAAAAACTAAGATCATGGCATCCGGCCCCATCACTCCTTGGCAAATACAAGGGGAAGTTGTGGAAGTAGTGACAGACTTTACATTCACGTTCCTGGGATCCCAGATCACCGCGGACTGTGACAGCAGCCATGAAATTAAAAGACCCCTGCTCCTTGGGAGGAAAGCGATGGCGAACCAAAAGAGCAGCTCCCAAATCTTTACAGCATTTTATTCGGATGAAGTTCACCTAGTAAAATCAAGTAGAAATTTATATGACTTGTTAATGTGTCTTTAACAGTTTGAACTTGTACAGTAATTCTTTCCTGTGTCATTGACTTTACAAATTACTGGGTCCACTTGTGCTGTTCTGCATACCCAGTTGCTGAAGGACAAAACTCAACCGCAGGACTCTTGCTAACCGCAGCATTGATTTTGCTGTTCTTTGTGGGGCGCCTGGCTCTCGCATTTCAGAACGCGGACCAACAGAGCGTGCAGGCTCACAAAGCGCAAGGCGCCGAGCCTCCGGGGGGGGGGGGGGGGGACAAGCCGGCTTGTGCGTACACGGCTGTGGGTGGGGCTTGGGAGGCCCCGCCCCCCGGGCCAGCCTGGCTCCTCCTCGCTTCCCCCCCTCCGAGAGTCACGTAGCTCTGCGGCAGCAGAAGCTCTTTTAGCAGCCGTCGGAGGAGACGCGCAGCCCGGAGAAAAATCAACAGCAGCAGCGACGCCGGCGAGAGACCCGTCAAGGTGGGCTTGCGGGCTTGGCCTTCGCGCGCTCCTCATTTTATCCGAGGGGCCCCTCCTCTAGGAGAGGGGGGGGGGGGCTCTCCTGTTCTTGCTCGCCTGCCTTCGAAGTATCCAGACGGGACCTTCGACGAAAATGGGCTTTGCAGCCGGAGCTCCCTTATTCTGTAAATGGGCGCAAACCGGGGGGGCGGTTGGTGTTGGATTGCGTGCAGATGGGCCCCCGAAATCCTAGTAGCGCGGGGAGGGGCTGTGTCGAGGTGCTTCTAACTCGTCGCAGGTCGCGCCATAAACGAGCCCGTCTGGATTTCCAGACAGACTGCTCCCTTGGGCGGGGAGACTTGGTTGCACGCAGGAATCGAACGGCTTACGCCAGCCTCGAGTTCGATGTTCGCTGCCCGCGTTCAGTTGCCCAGAGCTGAAGGGAGGGAGTCCCATCATCAGGGCCGGCTCACGAACTAGGCGATCGCCTAGAGCGGGACGGCCCTTAGGGGCACTAAACTGCACCTGGCCCCATACTCTGGGAGTTTCTTGATTATTTGTGTTTTTCATTCTTCCTAAAATGCATTTATTTTTGAAAATTGGTGGGCGCACGGGGGGGGGGGGCAGAAGGGATCCTCGCCTAGGGTGCAAAATAAGCTGGAGCCGGCCCTGCCCATCATCCAGGTGCCCGGCGCCTGATGCTGCCCACCATGCCGCCCTATTCTCGGGCATCTTCTGCGTAACCCCTTTAGTGATGTCTGCCCTGCTGGTTTCAGGGTGATTATTCTGCCGGCTTATTCTGGCACCGGCTGTTGGGTGACCTTGGGGGCATCAGACGGGCGGGAGTGGGTAGCTGCGGTTTTGCTCCATTCCCAGATCGGGTACTTAGTGGGTCTTCCCGTTGCTGTGGCTCTGCCATTCTCATGGGGCACACAGACCGTTCACGCTGTGCTAGGCAAGGTCTCTGCAGCTTGGCTCACTGGCACGACTCCTAGGAAGACTACAATATTTTCCTAGTCGGAGCAGGACCTGACCTAGATAGCCCAGGCTAGCCTAGTCTCCGGAGCGAAGTAGGGTTGGCTCTGATTGGTGCTCAGATATGAGACCATCAAGGAAGTCCAGATTTGCTACGCAGAGGCAGGCAATGGCAAACCACCTCTGCCCATCTCTTGCCTTGAAAACCCTCCGGGGTTGCCAGAAGACACCTGCGACTTGAGGGCCAAAATAGCAAAAGGAATGGGGATCGTCCAGTCTGGTTCTGACAGCGGTCATTCCGGTGTTTCTGGGAGCTGACAGGCAGCAGCTCAAGAAAGGAGTTGGCTTTCCCTGCAATGGTTTGTCCCTAGTATCTGGCTACCCTAACCTGGATGGCCCAGGTGAGCCGATCTCATCAGATCTCAGAAGCTAAGCAGGGTTGGCCCTAGTCTGTATTTGGATGGGAGACCACCAAGGAAGTCCAGGGTCTAGAGGCAGGCAATGGCAGACCGTCTCTGAACCCCACAGGGTCGCCCTAAGTCAGCTGTGACCAATGCTCCCTCTAAGCTGTGGAGTTGTGTGAGCAAAAATTCTGCTTTGTGAGCTACTGGCATTAAAGTCCACGGGGAGGGCGGGGTATAAATATGAAAAATAAATAAAGTTGTGAGTGAGCGATTTGGCTACTGCGTGAATTAGTTTGCTCTGGAGCCATCCTTCCTGAGCAAAGACAAAAATGTGTGAGCCGGAGGCTGAAAGACTGTGAGCTAGCTCACACTAACTCAGCTTAGAGGGAACACTGGCTGTGACTCAGTGGCAAAAAAGATAAAAGTATCTGGCTGCCTCTGAATGTGGAGGCTCCGTTTAATCCGGCATGGCTAATATCTGCTCGTAGCTCTTCCCTCTCCACCTTATGTAAGGTCATTGGGGGGAGGCCGTTGAAGACAAATGTCCCTCCCTGCCTGCCTCCGAGGCTCTCTCTAGGTAGTCATTTTGTCTTCTTTCTGTGAGGGAAGCGGCTGCTTTGGTCTGGTTGAGGGCTTGCTGTGGCGGCTTGCTTTACTTTTGGCCAGCCGCCACAGAGCCGGCGCTGAGGGAGGTGGCGTTTGGACTGCGCCATGGGTGCCTTCTCCAAAAAGCGAGGAGGATGAGTTGGGTGGGGCCCAGTGTTCCCTCTAAGCGGAGTTAGGGTGAGCCAGCTCACAGTTTTTTAGCCTCCGGCTCGCACATTTTTGCCTTAGCTCAGGAAGGAGGGCTCCAGAGCAAACTAAGGTATGCAGCAGCTAAATCACCTGCTCACAACTTTAATGCCAGTAGCTCACGAAGTAGGATTTTTGCTCAAAGGACTCCATAGTTTCGAGGGAACATTGGCTGGGGCCCTGAGGACATGGGGTGGGGCCTGGTGCAGCCAGGTGCAATCTGTGCCAGCGGCTGATGTCTGAGGATAGAGCGACGGTGGTCCCTCAGGAGTCACTCTGGAGGAGAGGAGAAGCAGCCCAGTGGTACCGGAGGCTGAGAGGGGATCAAGCCCAGTTTTTTTTTCTTCTTTTCCTTCCTTGGAGAAGGTCCCTGTGTGACACAGAGTGTTGGACTGGATGGGCCATTGGCCTGATCCAACATGGCTTCTCTCATGTTCTTAAGGTCGCCCTTTGCTGATGAGGAAGCCGCTGCTCCTCCATCTCAGGGGACGGAGGCTGTGGGCTGACAGGGCCGCCTCAGACAGCTGAAGTTAATTCCCATAAAGCCCTTGTTGTTTTACCTCATCCAAAGGCTAAATCTGGGCACAGCAGATGGGTTGTGGGGCTCAGGTGAAGCTTTAGGAGGAAGCTGCTGCCACCACTGTCAAATGGCTGGGCCTGAGGCATGTCTCCAGGCCCTAGCGAGGGGGCCTAGTTCAACCACTGGATATGAGGCCTGGTGGAATCCCACTCAGCTCTGTCCAGAGAGAAGAACCATTTACAGCTAGGCTTTGCTGGGAGGAAGGACTTGATTCCTCACGTGGGCTGCTAGCTGACGTCTCCAGCTGGCGGGGGTGTGTGTGTGGCTTGCAAGCTGCCATCTGGCTGGGAGTGCCGTGGGGGCCAGATCTGTGGCAACCATCGTAGTCTAGCTCTAGATTATTATGTAACATGGGCTGGTGGAACAACAGAATGGCAGTTGTGGCTGGGGAGGGGGCTTAGAAGTCCCAGAACATGATCTCAAGGCTGGGGTTTCTGCTCACCGGCACATGAAGATAAGCACTGGCTGTGCCCCTGAGTATATGCAGAGTGCCATTTCGATCGCCCCCATCTTTCCGGATACACAGTGGACTTGGCGCTTCTGTGGGGGAGGATGTTGTCTTCTGGCTGGCTGGAGAGGTCTCAGCACCATTCGTTTAAGAAACTGGTCATGTCCTGTAGAGATGGGGAACTACATGTCAGGGTTGGCGTGTGTGTGTGCGCGCTGCAGCTTTTTGCTAACAGGCTGTCTTTCCTTGCTTCGAGCAGGCCTATCTGGGATTCGGCCTCAGGGCTTGCTTTTGAAAGCAGAAAAGTGCTTCTGAACATGTTCAAAGTCCCTCTCTTTTACCACTTCACCAAAAAAGCCAGTTTGATGTAGGGTTTAAGAGCGGCGGACTTTAAACTGGAGAACCAGCTTCGATTTTCCACTCCTCCACATGAAGTCAGCTAGGTGACCTTGGGCCGGTCACAGTTCTTTCAGAGCGCTCTCAGCCCTTAAAAACAAGTCTAGCTTGCCACTAGCATAACATTAAAAGCTAGAACTTGCAGCTGCCAGACAATCGCAGGAGGCTATTCTACACACAATACCATGTGATAATTACCACTGCACAGATGTGGCCATATGAGAATAAACAGTCTTGGAAATAGGCTGTGGCTCAGTGGTAGAGTATCTGCTTGGCATGCAGAAGGTCCCAGCTTCAATCCCCTGCTATAAGGGGATATATAAAAGCTATAAAGACTAGGCAGAACGTAATATGAAAGACCTGAGATGACGACAGGGGGAGAAGAAGAACAAGAATTGGATTTATACCACACTGGTATTGGATTTATATCACACTGGCTGCCGTCACACACACTAAATAATCCACTTTCAATGCACTTTCCAGATGGGTTTTTACTGTGTGAACTGGCAAAATCCAATTCTAAAGTGCATTGAAAGTGGATTATTTAGTGTGTGTGATGGCAGCCTCAGAGTCTTGTGAGGTAGGTGGAACTGAGAGAACAGCTCTGAGAGAACTGTGACTGACCCAAGGTCACCCAGCTGTCTTCATATGGAGGAGTGGGGAATCGAACCTGGTTCTCCAGATTAGAGTCCACCGCTCTTAACCAATACACCAAACTGGAGAGCCACTGCCAGTCTGGGGCAGACAGTACTGACCTTGATGGACTGACGATTTGATTTAGTGTAGCACAGCTTCATGTGTGATTTCAGAGGAGAGGGAGGTGCCCGCTTTCTGCCTCAGAAAAAGCTGGCGTTGGCTTCGCTACTGAAAACAGGGCTTAGGGACCAGCATGCCCCGGGCTCTGCACAGTCTGTCTCTTTAGAAATGAAGTGTTGACAGGCAGCAGCATTGCAGGTCTCTTCTGGAAGCATCCATGCAGAGCGCACATCACAGCCACAAAGCCTGACCTTTGCCTTGCAATCTGTACTCTCCCAGCCCTGGGGCAGCCTGCCCAGAGGTTATGTGGCAGCATGGAGTTAATGGTGAAAGGGGCTGCAGTGCGCTGTCTGGAGGTGAGCGGAGGAGAGTGCCAAAGAGTTGGAAGTTGTGCTGATGAGATGCAATGAGGAGGAGAGGTGTGCTGCCCGGGTGTGCTTTGGAGGGCACAATTCACAGAGCAGCCTCCTGGAAGACACGCATGCCCGGTGGACTGCTAAGCAGAGTCATCCACAGGTCACTGGTGTGGGGGGGGGGGCATCTCGCTGCCACCACTGGGGATGTGGCCAGCTGCCTTGGATGCCAAGACATGGGGCAGGGTTCTAATGCTTTCCTTGTGTGGTCCAATACCCTTGCAGGGAAAAGCAGCCAAGATGACTCATCAGTATCCGGCCCTCACCCCTGAGCAGAAGAAGGAACTCTCGGATATTGCCCAGCGCATTGTGGCCCCTGGCAAAGGCATCTTAGCCGCTGATGAATCCGTAGGTAGGTCTGGCTTATGGTCAATGCACACGTGACGTTTGGGGATCCGACTGAATCCTGCAGCCTTGGTGATTCACAGCACGGATCCCTGCTTTGCTCTTGCTGCTTGCTTGTGGAAACCAAGGCCGCAGGTCGTTATTTTCATGCCGTTCCCTTTGCACTGAATCTCTTCTGTTAACGATGCACCGCTGCTCGTGTTGCTTCTGCGAGAGTAATGACGCAGAAGAAAACAAATATAATAAATGTGGCTGGCTGTGAGAACACCGGAAAATGGAAACGGCAGATTCATACATACCTATTTGAGATTTAGATAAACGTATCTTGACAAACATCCACACTTCACAACATGGGGACTTCCTTTGTTTGTGAACACGTGTACTCTTCTTGCACACTCCTCGGGGAGCCAAGTGGGGTGGGGCTCTGGTTCACTCCCATGTGTTAACAGCAAAGCAGCATTGGCCACTGTGTAGTGCAGGGATGCCAATGGAAGCACACACTGCAACCAGGACACCACATGGTGCTCAGTCCTCCCTTTAGTTCCAGCAACATCTGGGATATAGCAGCAGCAGTAGTGACTGTAGTGCTTTGGCTTTTCCTGGTGTCTCTCAGGTGTGCCAAGGCAAGGTGCTTGTGAGCCAAGGCAAGGATGAATTTCACATTACTCTTTTTAACCTGTTTTGAAGCCGTTTTTGATCCGTCATGGATTGAACCGGTATAGGGCTGCCATTTCACACATGGCTTTCCCCTTCCAGTAAAGAGCTGGATCTGAAGCGGTTTGCCATTTCAGACTGCACCGCTTTTCCCCCGCTGTTTTTCGCCCACGCAGGTGATCTCCAGCTTTTTTTAAAAAAACGTTCGCTTTATAGCGCTATAGTACTATAACAGAACACTCCAGGCATTCCAATGGCATTTATATACTGCTATTCCGTTATCTCTTCCTTATAATAAAAGAGTAGTGGGTGCCAAAGTTCTAAAATGCACTCCTTTAGTGTTAGGCCGGAAAAACTGCCACTCAGAACACACTGGCTGGGTTGACTGGCTGCTTTGTGCAGTCCCGCCCAGTGTTCCAAGGTCATTTGCATATGGAAGCTGATTGGACGTCACTCCATTTCACACCTCAAACTCACCCCCCCCCGCAAGGCAGTTGGATTTTTCAGTTGCATAATAGGAGAGAGGAGAATGATGTCAGCTGCTCCCTAGGCAGAGGCTGTGGGGGGGGGGGGTTGTAAAACTTAAGACAGACAGGCAGGTTGGCTGATGGTTGCCAGGAAGGGACATAGGGTTGCCAACTCCAGGTTGGAAACTTCCAGGATATTTTAGGGATGAAGCCTGCTGAGGGTGGGGTCTGAGGAGGAGGAGGAAGACGAGGACCTCAGACAGATACAATGCCATACTGCCCACACTCCAGACAAGCTGTTGCCAGTCTCCAGGTGACAGCTGGAGAGCTCTTAAAGCTTTGGTGCTCATTCAAACTGTTGCAATTTATCGACAGAGTAGTGTTTCGGAAAATCTTTAGGAATTGTTTGGTGCATTTACGATGGGGCTCCTGGGGAACTATTGTTGCCAATCTTGGCCCAACAGCCATCAAACCATTCTCTTCAACCCCCTGCTGTGCAGCTGACTTTCCCCTAGGGTTGCCAATCTCCAGGTGGGACCTGGAGATCTCCCACTGCTACAATTGATCTCCAGATGACAGAGATCAGTTCCCCTGGAGAAAATGGATGCTTTGGAGGGTAGACCCTATGACATTATACCTGCTGAGTCCTTCCGCCCCCCCCCCGCCCAATGCTGCCCTCTACAGAATCCACCCCCCAAACCTCCAGGTATTTCCCTCCTTAGAGCTGGCAACCCTACATTCCCCTCAGTGCCTGTTGGGAGTGGGTGGTGGGGGAGGGGAAGGGAGTGGGCGACCGGAGGCTTCTGCCTCCTGTCTCCGGTCCTGGAGTGGGGAAGGGTGGAAACGGACCCGGCAGCCGGAGGCTTGCACCTCCAGTCGCCGGCCCTGGAGTGAGTGGGGTTGAGTGGGGGGAAACGGACCCTGCGGCCGGATGTCGGCCCTGGAGTGGGTGGGGGTGGGAGGGAAAAC